TAATTATCTACGCATTCACAGTATAAAATAATGTATGAATTAGGTGAACTGTATTCAAAACCATGGTCAAATTCGTAGATTAAATTTTTGCGTAACTCGTATAATATACGAAATAGGTCAGTTTGCGTGGAACAGATGGGTATTATTTAAAACAACGAAGAGTAGCGTATTATAAATTAGACGTTATGATAAATGAGACGAGAAACTGTTATATAACGTCCCGTAACAATCGATTTGTAACAAAATATTACTGCAGACACTATATCGTTTTCGTTACTGAGAAGCATTAAACTGGTGCATCATTAATAAGAGTGGGTTCATTTTGACACCTAGTTATACTTGCGGAGTTATATGTCACAAACAGCCAGAAATAAATAGTGACTTTAAATAATTATCTTAATGAATAGTGTATATCATATGACGTGAGTATCTAGTTTCTAAATTTTTATTTATAATAAAACGAATCTCCCGCTTGGTTTAAAATGCAAATTGGGTTATATTGAATTTTCACGGGAGCAAAAATGATCTCAAAGGAGTGTTATCGCTTTTAGAAACCTATTCTTGTTTATCATGAAACATATATTTTACAATCTGTACGTTGACATTCTTACAATAAGTTAAAGCGATTTGTTGAACAGGTGGTTTTTTAGATTTACGAAAATATTGGATGTGTGTGTACCAGTTAATTAGGAGATCGCTACACCATTTTYCATTTTCGATTTATAGTARTCATCCAGGGTCACCTGGGGTCTGCTAGAATTGTAAGAGCAGAGATAGTTCGGAGATCATAGTCGATTACAGTGGTTGTGGAGGTTGGAGAGAAGTCGTTTGCAGAAGTTTTTATAGCTACATTTTGTACAGTTTAAATTGAGGGGTCTTTGTGTAGAGTATGGTTTGAGACATAAAAGGGTGCTTATTTAGTAATCTGACGGAAACATTTGGATTTTATTAATGTTCTAAGGTTTGGCTGAGCCCCAGAGTTGTGTTTTGTAGATCCATATTGGATTTAAGAAAAGATTATAAAGATGAGTTTTATTTTTGAAGTTAGTATGTTTAGAAGTAACAATAGAGGTTATGATTGTCGAGATCTGTGGTTATTCAAAACAAGGAGCTTGTTGTGAATGTAGGTTGCTCATGTTTATCTACGGTATAGATTTAGCCCTGAAAAATGTACGTTTTGAGCAGTAGGTAACGGTAGAATACCCTGAAATGTTATGGTATAACAGTTTTTTGCAGGCCTGAACATAAATGTGTAGTAAATAGATTAGTTTATCGAAACCTAAAATTATATTATGTTAAAAGTACTTACACAATGTATATTATTTTCCGTTCAAATATCGATAGTCGTAATTTTGTAAGTTAAACTGAAAACTTTATGTTATATATTATCACAAAACAACCATAAAATATATTAAAATATCGCATACCTATTACCTATCACCTATCTATATTTAATAAGGCTTGTAATTTTTATTACGACTTAATAGCCAAAAAAAATGTTTATAAATGCATATAAGTTAGCAATATTAGGTATTATTGCAATTGTTATTGTTGTTTGGGCTAAATTATACGATAAAATATAGAGCGTCATAGTATTTTTCGTATATATCTGTATAAAACAATAATATATTCAAATTGTTAATTTTTTCCTAGGTAATTTAAATAAAGTTTAAAAAAATAGAGACCGTTTTGTTATTTCTTGGTGGACTTTTAATCCCAGGCCTTTGTGAACCACAAAACATTCATATAGCGTACGAATCGTGYACGAAATCCTATTCAAAAATGAGCCAAAAATAATTTTACGGTTGTATAAAATATTATTATTTAGCAACGCAGTCAGACATTTTTCGTCATCCGAAGACAATAACAGTATTATGCGCGTTTTAAAAAATKAAATAAAATCTACGATGTTCAATGTATATAGTATACTCGTAATATAGAGTGATTTTCCAAACATGTTCAACCTCTTTTTTGCTTTAATATAGTATTTCTTAGTATATAATTTTTTTTTTTTTWAATTTAGTGATAATAGATAATAATTTTTATTTTAAATCATTTCCGAAAATTCTCAAATAAGCAATATAATATCCATTAATATAATAAATCCAGATCGTTCGCCCTAAGGTCTTAAGTAGGCATTTATACAATTGTAATTGCACTGTTCACGCTCTTTCCGTTATAAATATGTTCAACTAAAACACCTTAAATCCTAAATACTTATAGTAATAATCAATGACCACCGCTATCAGCTCCAGTGATTTCAAATTTTTCGKCGAACATTAATGAAAACGATGTTGACGAATATKACGTTTAAACCGTATACATATTTTAGACACGTGGTATATCTGCAGGCACACTTAATTTTTGTGACCTATGGTTACAATGTTCGCTGTGGTTATCTGCGTGGGTGTTTACTATTTAGTTATTTACTCTTGTGATGGACTCACAAAATATTTGGTATTATTTTATATTCAAAAACAGCATATTATTTACCAAGCCAACCAACAATAAACAAACTTTATGGTAAGCACACAATATAATTTTACAATTATTCAGGTGAAATTATAGCAATCATGCATATGTTATGTATTGTATACTGCAGTGGTTAATTATTATAATATAAATCAACGTTTGAATCACTTATTACTTAATATAAGTAATAATATATTATGTCAAATTAAATTAATTTTCTTGTTACGATATATAAAATAATTAATCATTCATGAATACTTTTGAAAAATATCGAAAAAATAATCAATTTGTTTTGTTTTTACTCAAACTAGAACATTGCTTGCTTATTGTTTGTCGTTGTTGCTAGCGATAACATTATCCCTGACGTCATCACACTGCCATAGGGTTGGTTAGTACTCGTATCATAACATATTTTGTATTAATATTAGCGATGTATAGTAATTTTTATGAATAGGTCGACCGGCATAATACCGGTTTTTTTTAAGCTGAGTTGGGTTGGTGGTTTGTGGTAGTAGTGATTTTTTAAGACCATTATATTTTAGACTAAGGTAGTAATGTATTAAATATTTCCGAAAATAAATTATAACACTAGATCAGCGGTTCTCAACCTTTTTATAGTCACGTACCACCTGACAATTTTTTCGCTTATTAATAATGTATACGTTTATGTGTTATGTATAGAATTTTGTTAATAAATTAATTTTTTATAAAGGTAGATTTTCTTCACGTACCACCAACGAGCTTTCCGCGTACCACAGGTTGAGAAGCGCTGCACTAGATAATAATATTATGATGAACGTTCACGAGTGATGTACCCAATTTTTGCCTATCTAAGGCGCCGTGTGATAGTTATTCTGTATTAGGTATACACTATAATAATAAACTAAGAGAAATAAAACATTCGATACTACCATGGCCCAAAGCATTTGAGATGTCCAGAAGAGACGAGGTAATTCTTGTCCATCTACGAAWAGGCCACACCCGCATGACTCACGGCCTATCTCATGGCCAAAGAAGACCCTCCATCATGCCTGACGTGCGGAACAATCATTACAGTCAAGCAGAGTATWTACTGACAGAATGTCGTAAATTCAGTGAAAGGCGCATTAAACTAAAACTACCTGATAGTCTGAGACACTATACTAGACGACCAAAAAACTCCTTAATTTCGTCAACTCAACAGAACTGCGTCAACTGATTTGAATATTCTAAYTTAGATTAAAATGTAAATCTGTAAATATAGGTAATAAGTAGAAATTAAGCAAGTATGTAAAAAATTAATGTAAATTAAATATGTAACGCCGGCTAATAACCGTGCAGTTGATGCCCCAAACAATTAAAAAATAATAATAATAATAATATCATCATCATATTATGTATGAAATTATATAACTTATCAGGAAAATAAGAAAAATTGACAAAATTATGGTCACAAAATATTAATAATCTACTTCGAGTGCATAACATTATTGGTTGATCGTCATTTCTATAAAGTAAAAATGGCAAACCATATCAGCTGTACCTATAATTAATTCTAATATGCATATATAAATATTTGATTAATACACTAATAGTTATATTGTTATCACAATGTTTACTTGAAAGTAATCTAATGTATAATATGTACTTTGGTAAGTAATATTTGACTTATTAGTTGTGTTTGATTTGTATTTCCACAGCCACAGAGATTTGAAACCGGAAAACTTGTTGCTGGATGAAAAGACCAACATCAAAATCGCTGACTTCGGTATGGCGTCCTTGCAGCCCAACGGCAGCATGCTAGAGACCAGTTGTGGTTCTCCACACTACGCGTGTCCTGAAGTCATCCGAGTAAGATATTTTTTCTATGACATACATAAAACTTTATAAGCCCTAACAGCGCGATAATTATTATATGCTACGTTGACTAGTTCAAATGATTTTCTGGCCCATTGGCTGATGTTGATTTGAGGTGGGGGTGACGTTTACTATAAACACGATTAAGATCCAGAATTGGTGAGGAAACGTTAACTAGCTTTGTTATATAATATTCACAAAAATATAAATATATTCATAATAGTACTAAAAATATTATTAATAGATTTTCTATAATAATAAAAATAGAGAATTGGATTTTATTTTATAGTTTTATTAGTTTCACAATATTTTATTTAAATTGAGCACTTATACATTTATATCTATTAATAACAGTAAAAACTAATTTTCTGTTGTTTTTTTTTAAATTTTTTTTATAAAATAAAATCAAATTATACATTTAAATTAAGCTATGATTAATTTAATTTGAATATATTATATATATATATAAGTTAATACAAAACATTAAACAACTTAAAAAGTAGAAATGTGCCATGTGGTAAAGATGARCTTATGAAAAATGACTAATTAGTAAGTAATGGAATATAGAAAGTATATAGTATTTAAAATATTTTAGTTTATTATTATCATTATACGATTTTAACTTAAATGAAAAGTTTGACAAAAAATCGTAAGACCAATATAATTTAATGTCTTCAATAATATGTGCACCTCCACTAAGACGATTTCTGGATCCAGCACTGTTCGTGCCTACGCTATGCATTCCAGATAAACAAGAAAAAAAACTTGAGATATTTTAATGAACRAATAATTATTAATGTGACAATTATCTCTTTGTTCCTAAGAATATCTCGGGGTGCCATATCCGAAGTGTGCGTCGTGCGATGGGTGGATCGCCTCGGGGCTGATATCCCCTTCTTTTTGAATTGGGGACTTATTTTTTATTTTTCAATGTATTTTAATTGCATATTTATATATAATAAAACAACGGTGAAATGAGTATAAAAAAAAAAAGATCCATTAAAATATTATGATCACCACCCTTTTTATACGCTTCAGATACTGGAGTGTTTTTTCCTTTGATGATTTTAATTGTAATAACACAATATTATTAATATTAATATTGAAATTGTTAGAATATCATACTGAATAATTTGTTGTTAAACAAATTCCTTTAAGCTACGATACGTCCTATTAAACCACAATACTTGAAACTATTCAGCTGTCTGTTACCCTAAGTACCTAATTATATTTTACGTGTAATTGTATCTACTTAAAACCTCGTGATTTTTGTTTTTTACAAAATGAATTTGATATCGTAACATCGATGACATTCGTTTGCATAGGAAATCACAGCTTCTATGCTTTCATACGCATCTTATTATGAACTTACGCATTATTTTAAGTATTTGAGTAAAAGTATACAAATATTTTAAATTGGCGATTTGCATTTGGGCAAGTGTGCAAACAAATATGTATGGGCGATTTTTTGATAATTATATGCTTTTCAACATTTTTTCCAATACATTTTCACCTTCATTTTAATAGCCTCATGACTGTTCATGAATTTCATTGGTATAATTAAAAAATGTAGGTATGTACTTTATTATTATCAAAAATCACATATCATGTTTTTATTTTTTTATTTTAGAATCTCCAGTGATAGCTATTACAGTTCGATATCATGTTTTAAAAGAGTATTATTTCAAAATATTTTAAACTATTAACTCTTTTAAGTTTCTTATTAAAAATCAAACACTTAAATGTTTTACATTATATAAGTGAATTCGTTGTTATACAACGTTGATATTCAGTTGTGATGAATCCATATTAATTACTAGTGATACTTAACTTATAACAACTTTTCGTTTCTAATAGTCGATCGCAGTGAGGCGCCAGGATTGTTTGGTCCGATAGATTCTATCATTAAAATAATAAACCAGGAATAACGATAATATTATTCATATTCATATTCAGACAATAACACACCAAAAACAAATGAACCGTAAACATAAAAAATCACTCAAAGTAACGAGTTAACGCAGGTTGATGACGTTACGTCGGTAACTGAGTTAATAACGATTAGTTACTTATAAATAAAATAAATCAAAAATATGATTAGCAAGACATGTATCATAGGGCAACAATAACTCACTCTAGTTTCCCGATCCTCTCTGCACCGCGTGCCTGRAAAAATGGTACAAATTATCTGTTGCTTCGTATTTATTTTTTACTATATTTTTATATTAACTAGGTAGATTGAACCATGACGATTAGGCTCGTAACTAGTCTATTCTTAGATTACTAGAATAAAACGTTTTGTTAAATGGAAATTAAATCTATGTGGATGTATAGTAAAAAAAGAAAAGATTTAATTTTAAATGCATATCAATTATTTGGTTCATTATTTATTTTATTTTTCCAATTATTATTTCACGAACTTTGAATTAGAATTTTAATCAAACTATAATACTCAAAATGTATTATCGAGCTGATTGGATTTTTACTTGTAAATATAAAAAAAAGTAATTAATTATTGAGCCACCTATTATGGTTATCCTGCATTAGTTATATTTTTGATTCGGAYGACTAATGAATAAAAATTTTGAATTCATAATGTAACTATGTATTAAGTGTAACAGTAATGACTATCTAAAAAACAATTTTACTAAAATAGTGTACAAATTAAAATTTATTTTTTAATTTAAAAAATTAGTACTTAACATTTTTGTAAAAAATATTTGAATGATGTTCAATATTAATATTAATAATCTATAATCCTTTTTTGAAAAGAACATCATACAAATATTTCGCCACAACTATACTTAGAGCTTACATGTGGCTTGAACTAAAAACATGATTTTCAGGGTGAGAAATACGACGGGCGGAAAGCGGACGTTTGGTCTTGTGGTGTAATACTGTACGCACTGCTTGTCGGYGCGCTACCATTCGACGACGACAACTTGCGCCAACTATTGGAGAAGGTGAAAAAAGGCGTTTTCCACATACCACATTTCGTGCCGCCGGATTGTCAAAACTTGCTTCGTGGCATGATTGAAGTCAACCCGGAAAAACGGTTAACCGTAAGTGTTCCAAAAATATAAAATATTCACCATGAGGTCATACGAGGAATCGTTTCCAATGTAATCAGGAATAGAGGTGTAACTTGGCATTTTTTTTTTTTTAAAGAAGTAGGGAGAAATATTTTTACTTATTGTGTGTATAAATATAGTGAGTGAGAACTGTCATAATTTCCCCCTCAAATAGATCATCAACAATAAATCCATACGTAGGTATTTTATAGATTATTATTTAGCAGTCTTTGAATTTTTGTAAGACTTTAAAATTAGTAAAAATAATATAATGTTTCATATTATATTGATTAATGAACAAAACTATAAAAGCACCTTATATAGTATAATATGATACTATAAATATTAAAAGACAAATCAGTAACTATACAAAACTCTCACAGAAAATAATATTCAAGCTCTAGTATAACGCTTTAAAATAATTAGTGTTAACTTCAAACAACTTACAATGTACCGAAAAAATTTCTATTTCTATAATATTATGATTGTGTCTATAAAGTACAAAAATATTTCCATTATAATGTTTAATATACCAAGTAAATGATAAAGGTTAATCGATTAATGTGATAAGTATTATTTGAATTAGGACATTCATCACACAAATTTAAAATTTTCAGTTGATAAAACTTTGTCATTCGGTATTATGAGTACTAAAGTGGCACTAACTGATCAAAAAATTAAAATTTAATCCTGAAGCAATAAATTTTTCCATCTCCATCTAATTATATTTTTATTTTTTACCAGTCAGTGATATTTTTCCATTTATTGTAGTGGGATATGGAAAAGGTTAGCACTAAAGTAAACAATGGTCTGTAACCACTAACAGTTGTATTATCKTATTGGTAATATTGTCTGAGTTAATTTATCAATTAAAATTACCAAAAACTGTTTTAAAAAATTATGAATAATTATAAATTGTTTTAAATCATTTATAGCACATGATATAATTAGGTAATTATATTTCTTGAATTTTCTATAAGCTTTATAATCTTTTGTTATAAATTTTTCTAAAAGTACATTTTGGTAAATGTAAAATTTAAAAAKACAACATAAATTAAAATGGGATTTAAGATTAATTTTAAATGAGACATCAAAAATTCATCCTGTAYCAACCTTGAAAATATATCAATTTTATTTACTCAGATATTTTTACAGAATTTAAATCCAATATTATTCAAGTGGGCATATTTTATCAAACTTTTAGCCTAAAGTTAGGGCTGCTATATTAATATTTTTGTTTCCTTCCCTCTTATAAATTATAGAGGTAAGGTTGTGAAATTGTGTTTCACGTCTTGCTCACGCTACTATTTTCCAGATTACTCTATTTAATATTATTATTAGAGGCACGGGTGTTGTTGAATTCGCGACTTTCCTTCTATTACTACAATTTATTATTARKTAAGTTTTAAATGCGTTTCACGTTAGTATAAATTAAAATCTAAAAATTTTAATTGTAATTTTTTGCGATTTCTTGGATTTTTATTAATTTGATAACAAATTTATTGAATTCACTCATTTATTAAACAATTTTTCAATATTTTACTTTAATTTTTACTTACTGACTAACTGRCTCCAAATCAAAGAATGTTTGAATATGAAGATTTGAAACTAACACTTTTAATCTAATTCAATTATGTTTGAGGTTGATAGTAATTTAGATTGTTAAAGCAACATTCAAAATATTTATTTTTTTCAGAGTTAAAAAATGATTATAGAAAAAAGAAAGAGAAAAATACCTGTGAAATATAATGCTTCTCATAAATTAACGATTAAGAATTATAAATTAAAAACATTTATAACGAAGCATTATTAACAGTGTTAATTACTGAAATTTTTAAATTTTTAAATGCAGTTTTTATATTTTTTAGCTCAATACTGCAWTCAATTTTACTACTGCAACATCCACGCCCTAATTATTATACTGACAATTTGATAATATTGTAATTATTTAACACCCAGTTAAAACACATTAAATATTATTCGGTATATTGGGCAAATATTATAATATTGTTACTTATTTATTTCGACGAAAATGTTCGTACATTTTTTATAGAAACTCGTGTTTTCGCATAGTTGAATATTTCTTACAACACGTCATTATACTAAACTTACAATAACATTATCTCAGGTATTTAATTGTTTAAAATAAAATATGGTTCTCATATTACATTAGAGTTGGTTCCTAATAATAACTTAAAAAAGTAATTATTTTATTGTCGTAGTACTTTAAAGACTTTTTTTTATTAAGGGGAACCCGCGGCAACATAGGTCATTAGGTGTGGGGTGGCACGTTAGGGGTTATTCTTTTATATTTGTTTGTAGGTTTTTAAGTGGGTAGGGTTGTAACACGTGTTGTGTACATGTGTGGCAAGGATAGGTTGCTAAAAATCCCGGGTGGTCACCCATCCGGGAGCTATCAACTGCGGGCGGTGCGTACACTCAGTGCGTTTCCGCAGTTTGAGCGTACGACCGCGTCTCACCAAGCCACACTTCAAAGGGTATTTATAATGTGGTATAAATAATTATTATAGTTGTACAATCATTTTACCATTGGTGGAATCATTATGCCCACCACATCAGATTTGTTATAAAAACATTTTTTTCCCGCACGTTTGTATATAATATTATGTTTTATACAAACCAATAAATATGTATTTACTTTTCAGTTGAAAGACATAAACAAACACTCATGGGTAATCGCTGGAGGTAAAGGAGAAGTGCACTTAGGTATGTCAATGATAGACGTCATACAAACCCACATAATTCCGTCCGCAAATGACTTAGACACCGACGTTCTTCAAGCCATATCAAGTTTAGGTTGTTTCAAAGACCGGGAAAAACTCATCGCCGCTTTGTTGAGTGTCGAGTAAGTTGTGCTACTGAATTAAATGCATTCCGAAACCCTAAACCGAAAGAGAAAGAGATACAATCGTCTGTATTAATAACTACCTATAATGATTCTCGTGGCATTTATAAGAACCTCCGCAGTATATATTTACATACAATTATTAATAATCGTCATCGTGTACAAATATAGTATTATATATATACATATTATACATTGAACAAACTCGGCGCATAAAAGCAGCTAACGTAATGGTTATGTGTATACGCCACCGAGATGTCATATATTATATCGTTTTATTTGAATAAGGACGTAATCGAGTATGATCGAATTGTAGTAAATTATCGGTTTGTTTTATCACAATATTATAAATCAGCCATGAAATCGACTAAACAGTGATAATTCGAAATCAATAAATAATATTAAAATATGAATAATAATAGCTACTTACATCTTCGAATGAAATCCCAATAACTACGGTCACCGTGAATATCCGGTACATGTATTGTAATGACAATCGCAAACAAACAAATATTGTACAGACACATAAATATATTAAAATGAATATCATTTTATACCTTTCTCCGTAATTTCATTCGTTTGATACGTTCAATGGAAAATTTATTTTGGACAAAAACTGGGGATTTTAATGTTAATTTTGTTATTTTTTGTATAGTCATAACACTGAAAAAGTGATTTATTTCCTATTACTCGAGCGCAAAAAACGACGACCAGCTAATGAGGACGACACGGTTGCAGTAAAAAACACCAAAAACAGCTTCGATCCACCGAAAAAGCGAGTAGATACGTGTAAAATGATTGATGACATCGATAGTAATTTTTCTCAGATCAGTGCTGGATCTCCTGCTACGCCTCGAAAACAAATGTTGCAGTAAGTAAAATAAATGCATTTTATTTAGGGCCGTTTATATTGTAAATCTGTTATAAGAGATACACGAAGAAAGATGTAATAGCAATATATTGGTATCACTGACAAGGCTTTAACCTTAAACTTTTATATTTGTCTTCAAAGATCTTGTGTCTGGACCGTTCGACATTTTTTTTTTACAAATCTAAAAACATTTTACAAACAAATATTTATTATTTTTTAGGTGAAAATATAGATGCAAATTGTATTTTAAATAATTTTAGTTAGAAATTTTGATGTAGAAATGAATATTTGAAGACATACTCCTCCCCCCACCACCAATAAATTCAAGCACAGCGTATAATTATAAATAGGTATTGATAATCGCAGGATAATCTGCAAGACTGTTTCAACACGATATAGTTAGGAAATCATGAGCGGTTTTTAATAGACTTATCGTGGTGAACTACTATGACTTGGGTGAAAAAGTAAAAGGGTATGGAAACTCTATGATAACTAGAACTAAATATGTATATTCTATGAGTGACGTGAAACAAAACAGAAAAATATAGGTACCTCTTATCTACGTACCATCGTACTTATTGTTTAGTTATTATCTACAGTTAGGTTATTGAACCGTAGTGTAGCAACGAAAACTTATCGTTCGACGTAATGTTTTGATTGTTTTTYGTACATTGAGAAGTCGACACACTGTCGCAGTAGTCATAGACGTCTGGATAGATGGCTGAGTGGTGGTTATATATAGAGTTCGCATAAAATTTACTAAAACTATACCCCTTCAGAAATATCAATCCATTAGTGCATGTAAATGTTTGTTTGTACTTGTTGTTGTAGTTGATATAACATAGACGTTAGGCATTACATGTTTTTATTACCATAAGACCATATTAATACCATTTTGTACAGACAACAAAGAGRCAGCTTGCACTTATAAATGATGACATTATTGCAGTAGCATAAATTGTTTTTATTTTTTAAGTGTTTTTAGCGAGGAACAAAATATCAATTTTACGACGATGGTATTTTCGTTTGTATTTATTATTATGAGTACTATTAGAGTATTATTATATATTTTACTGCCCCTGATTAGGTTAGGTTCTTCTACGTTTATTTCATTACGAGCTATGAATTTAGATTCAATACTATTGCATACTCACTACTTAGAACATAATATTTATGATCAAAAACAAATTCATGTTATTCATAAAAATAATGTAGTTTTTATTTCATATAGAACATTTCGAAACTGTTGTTCTTATTTTTAAAAGTCCGATAGTGAAATTAATGTATTCGATAATTTTATTTGTATGCCGGTATACATATACTTAACTTATCATTATTGGTTTCCACCTTTAAACAAAAACAGTCAACGTAATATTTTTAAAACATTTTATTCGATTTGATTTATAATTTAGTGAAAATTCCATGTAAAACATTTAAAAAAGTGTAAGAAATTGAAAACAGCCATGTCACGTCATTGGGCTGAACACTGACGACTAACCACCCACCCATGCATTATATATACGAATTACGAATACAAAATATTTAATTTATATTGCTTCTCACAACAATTTATGCAGTTTACACCTATATGGACATATGTCAGGGCAATAATCTTTCACTGCATGATGTCACCTCTTTATTGTTGAAAATTACGAAAAAATAATATATTATCTATGAMATTGAAAATTAAAAAGAATACTAGCCCCACTCTTAACTTATCGAAAAAATTAGGTATCTACTGCATAGTATGTCAACATTTTACCTTCAAATTCTTGTAAATAAAATCATGCATATAATTATCATTTATTTTCAATATCTATAATAACAACTTATGAAGAACATTGTATTCAATTTTCAATCTTTTTTACTCAGTGACAATTTTTTTATCAACATTATAAGGAAAAATTTTAAAAAATTTCAAATGTCTATAGACTATGAATAGCTCGAAAATTGTTAGTTTTTTGAATTTTTAAATGTATTTTTGAAAATTATACGATATACCCAAATAGAAAATTATAGTATAAATATTTGGAGAGTATAAAATATAAAAACAACTAACAAGTATCTATAATGGCTATTATTAGTTTTTTTATTACAATAAAATGAGAAAATGTATTTCATTCAAAACTGGTGTTGCGTAAAAATGACCATTTGTCGTCAATCGTATTTTGCTTTTCCGATTTCCCGATTATTTAGAAAAATAATGGAWATTTACTGAAGTCGAAAATTTATGCATTTTTCTACTGTGCAAAAAGGGTTTCTAGACTGAAAAAAAATTTCTTATTAATCATTATTCATTGTTGGTTGATTAATACCAACTTTTTAACTAAGGTTTGTGACGTTAATTTGTTTTTACTCTGCCATAGAAATCGCATCTACTACAGGAGAGGCAGTTACAACAACGTAAGTTCCACGGGCGGCAACATGTGTGGCGGTTCAAGCTTGGCAAGTTCCTCGACCTTAGCTGGAATATTATCACCCCTTCCACAAAGGTAACATATGGGAAAAAGGGGAAACAATTTCATTTTCGGTTTTAACGGGCCCACCGGCGTTTTACGACTGTTAGGTCAAACAACTCAAACTATCGTTATCACAATCACCACAAGAGCCAACAGTCAAAGAAYTCGTCGATTTCGCCGCACGGCAATTACATTTCTGCGCACAACCAATCTTTGGACACGAACAGCTCGTGCTCGGCAGCCGTACCTCCGTCGCCCGTGCACCACGCTAAGCAGGCAAAAGTCGAAGTACCTTCGTCTCCAAACCACAGTAAATAATCCAAACACCAATAAAATATAACAATATCGACAGAAACCGTAACGAGCGGATTAAAACGCACGATGACATGCGATTATAACGCTCACGTGTGATTATTGTTTCAGTGGTCATCTGCACGCCTCCAGGGTCGCCACAACACCTGTCCAACCATTGGAAATCGAGACTCACGTCGATCCGCAATAGCGTACTCGGATCGCCGAAATTCCACCGACGTAAACCTCAAAGTAATTATGCATTTTGTCACGACGTGTCTATTATACGTGMTTGGTATGGTGTTATARTTTATTTACATGGATCATAAAGGAAACAAAGTGGGGGCGCATGTTTACTAGTAAAACATTTTTTTAAAAAAACCTTTTTGACTAAAATAATTAGGTATGGTCGATTTTCTAATTAACTTATAATCATTAGCTTAAATTACCATTGTAATAACATATAGTTATAACGTTTTCCAGTCGATTCAATAAATAATGTGACGAGTCAAATTCATGTTTATAGATATCAGCATACCTAAGTGAAATTAAAATTCAGCGATTTAAAATATTTTTTAATGACAAATAAAAAAATATCAAAAAATATTTCTTAATTTAATAAGAACTTAGTAGTCGCACAAACATCTGATTTCCGGGATGAAAGTTGAGCAAATTAAGGACAAAAAACAGTGATCGATTTTTTTTATTATTATTCTTATTATTATAAACTACTTTTAATCATTTTGAACGTCGTACTATTATTACCCATAACACGTTTAATACGATTGTRCGTTTCATTTTATTTGTGCAAACAGTCGACATGGACACGCCGTATAAACCGACACCGGAATCCTCTCCGGAACTAACAAAAAAATCGTGGTTCGGAAGTTTGATGGCTTCTGAGAAAGACGAAACGTTCACTATTTTGATAACAGGAAAACCGTTATCCACTGTGAAGGCTGACTTAATCCACGCTTTGCTTTCGGTAAGTATTACGAAAAAAAGTTTTTTTATCACCTACATCGCTGAAGCAATTTGAAAATTATTTATAATGATGAATTCGCAATAATCGATTGTGTAATATTGAAGGATTTTTTATTTGGGGGGAGGGGGAATAAATGTAATAAATGTTTTTTACTTACCGTGTCTAAATATATAGTTAGGAAAAATTGACACTTCTACTTCTCAAACATTCCTTAATAACTAATCTATATTCTATACCTATGCATGTTGCACCTAAGAATTGTAGAATTACTGGAAATATGTGAAACTAGTTAGGCAATATATAGTATTCATTATTCATATTATAAACCATAATAAATAACAAAACTTCAACTTAAACAAAGTTTTATAAATATTTTAACGACAAATTTATTAATAATGTGAAACACACACAAAAAGTGATATACAAGAATAATTCACTAAAAAATAATTGTTGCTATATTTAATGAATTAGTGTATATAACAGGAGACCAAAACTACATGTTTGACCGTTTTGGTATAGTAACATGTAAGAGAGATACTTCCGCTTACCCTTCCCTTCATTACGGTTACGGTTATGATTTCAGTATTGTAATTGTTCGTGGAAATTTGTTATTTTCATGTTTACTACAGTCATAATTATATACATAAAAAAAATAAACATTAATAACATACGTCACTTTTGCCATATTTTTGTATGTAATTTTTAAACTGTCTTGTCTGTTGTAACATACAACTTGTATGTATAGTTGGGTCACTTCGTCGCAGTAGGGTGTACCTATAGGTTATAATATAAACAACGTACACAACGTACGTAAAAAAGATAATGAAAAATTTCCATAACCGTATTCGTTTGGTAGTAGACATAATATAGTGGTCTTCAGGGAATAAAAAATACGAAAAGAAAAACTAGAACGGATTCTGATGTCAACTGCAGATTTTATTATACGGCAGATGTCTGTACGATGTAACGCGTGTTGAACTGCACAGCTTTTGATTTTATGAATTGCATTTTTATTCATCATTTTTATTTATCCTTTCATCTTAAATAACTCCAGTAACAAAATAATCTAATAAACTACTGAAAGATGTGTATGCAGCTGATATATATATATATATTTACGATGTGTTTGCTAGAATTTCCTATTTCAAACAAAATTCAATACATCAGAGGATTTATACTCATCAGCTTATATATATATATATAATAAATGTTTATCCGATCCAATATAGTATATTTTGTAGCCTACGCAGAATCAGACTTTGTTTAGAAATTTCTTTGATTTTAGATTTATCTTCTCGAGCTGCATTTGAAATCGGATATCAACTTCCAGAATCCGTTAAAATCTCCGTTTCGTATACTTTTACTATACATGTATTATATATTTGTATAAATATAGCATATGTAAATAATATATATATATATACGCACCTACCTAAATAATAATTGTATGTAGGTACTTAACTATTTTAGTTATGTTTAAAAACAGTCTATTCTTTGTGCAAATACATCAACACATAATAGTTGTTCAAATGTTACAAATATTTATTTATACGTTACTTTCTATACAAAATAATATATTCAATAACTCAATATATCAAAAACGAATCAGTTATAGACAGAAATGTAATAACAATTTTTGCAATTTGATGCTGTCAGTAGCATAAATGTGCCTTTGGAAATGTGATTTCTATTTAATTCAATATTATTATTTGTACAAATTGAATAGCTTATAAATTATTATATTAGTTAGGTATACCTACACAGAAAACTACTTATAAAATATTATAATAACGCGCGCAGTGTACAATGGGTTTACGAATGTCATTTAAATTTAATGCGTTGTAAAGCAAACCGAATATAAGTCAAATAAACGAACAACAAAGATCGCTGCAACAACATAATAATAATAAYAACAACAATATATTGGCGTAAAACGAATAGTATGATATATTTTTAGCTGCGATTTAAATCTCACGTCGAGTGCACCGTGCACGTGTCTTATATTAAAAACGTATACAACGTTTACGCGAAAATAAATAAGAAATAATAATGAAAAAAAGAAGCTTTTTCTACAGATATTTGGTGCGTCTCTCGAGAGGAGGTTTAGGGCGGTACGAAAATAATATGTCTGTTCGTCGTATTATCTATACGCGACGAGAATGTCACGTTTTCGCATGACCCGTTGACGTTCGTCGGTGCGTGCACAAGCCCCATCATCGTTGCGATGAAGACAAACGATAGATTTGTGGTAAACAAAAGTGACATCGTGCAAAACAAATACGTCCTATTATGTGTTTGCTGTGTGAACTTGTTATTTGGTTCCGATCGATCGGAGATGTTTTTATATTATGAGAAATGTGTCACTTCTGTGTTGACTCCGTCTTACGAGTGCGCCAACAATGTTCACCAATTCGCGTTTATTTTTGTATTTGTTTTATTTTATTCGGTATAAATATCCCACAGAGTAAAAGTTCAGAGCTTAGAGTTTCAAATAGCCTACAAATCAATTAAATTYCACAATTACGAATATTAATGATGTAGATCAAAGATATAATACAAGCTGAAGAATTATAGTAGGTACATACAGTTCAGTAGAGATTGTTTTTTTATTACCGATTTTCAATAATGTAATGACCTAATAACGAATGAACTATTGCAAAGTATAATACTTTTAACATCTAATATCTGAGGACTACCAACAATTCCGTCTAGCAAATTCTAATGTTCTAAGTGCAATAACATRAATCGAGTTCATATGTATAATATGTGATTTAAAAGAAAAAACCGGATAGAATAATACTTGAATCTTTTATTTCTTGAACATGACTTATTATGGCTGACTATTTTTAATGTTAGTGTAGTCCAAGGTTTTTTATAATAAATGTTATTTGCGTACATTTGGAAATATTTTGTTCTTAGTTGATATTTTAGATGCGGTGTACATCGCCGTTTGAAAATATTAATATCGTTCTCAAACAATAACAAATTACAACGATTATTTAGGTGATAGGTATTTTGGATTATTTAAGACAGTTAATATTTTGAAACATTGATATATTATGTGCAAATTATATTTATTATAATATCTTAATCACCAGGTCGTGTATAGCCAATAATATAATATTATAAGTAATATTGTATTGATGGTGGTGTATAGTGATGCTGTGCAGAACACGACGACGATCGGTACTATATAATAGTTATTTAAGCAACATATCTCGGCAAACTCGAGAAGTGTTGAGAAAAAATAAATAAATAAACAATTTTAACTTGTTAAACAAAATAGCATATTTTATTTATACAAATGTATACGTTAAAATAATTAGGCGCTCTACACGTATTTATATAACATGGGTTCTAATAACGAATCGATATCAATGACGTATGGTGGCGTGATAGCCTATACTCTAATATAATTACTCGCCTTTATTGTTGAATTTGCATTATTATAACATCATTAGGTAAAAACAACTTGTTGTTTTCACCTTTTATCTAAGCTTCCTGTTATTTAGAACTTGACACGACGTCTGTGAAATTGGCTCAGGTGTGAAATGGCCAGGTGTGCTAGTGTACCGTAGAACACCGGGCCGGGTCAATATATATGGACCGCTGGGCCGGGGGTTCGTGCACGTTAATTGACAGTATTAGTATATTAGTTATAAATATATTTTTAAATTTTAAATACCAAACAGTATAAGACWACTGCAGCTATTGGTTGCCGATCGGAACGATACCTGTAATAAGTTCAGGTACTTCGTAGTCGAAATGTATGTAATGTATCGGCCCATTAATTAATTTAATGTGGGGTCAGCAGGTACAAAAAATAGAGTACATTTTCTAAATGATTTGTCATGGTCCATACAATTTAATACTGAGCAATTATAAACTATTTTAAAATATATAAACATGTATCATATATGCTTTATTACAGTTTTTATCAATWTATTACGATCGTGGCGAACCAGTATCGCTCAACATATATTTGATAAACTACCCGAAAAAGTAGGTAGGTATTCATAGAGACTGATATAAACGGGTTGAGCCTATTGTTGTAGGATATACTGGGCCGTTTACCTCACAGTCCACCCCTGAATTGGACCTCGGCTCCACCCAATCCACTCCGAACCAATATTTTGCAACTTATTCGCAACTATTTACAACACACAACTTCACAGACGTACACCATGTATCGTCTATTAATACCTACAACACTTGTATCATAAATTATACTAAAAATATGATTTGATATCTACAGTATATTGAAATTCATAAATTTTATCGAGCATTGGGCATATTACAGTAGTGATAATCGGAATTGATAATTCACTGTAATAACAGCTAGTACTAAAATACAGTCACGAGTCACGCACGAGAAGCGCACACTCACTGATACCGCTCTGAACGTGCACAAAATATGACCATCAGTCAATCATAATTTATGGTGTATATGATGTCTAAAGGTGAACGGTAGGATTTCGTTTAAACTAAAAATGACTTTTTTACGTTTTATGGCTCGCAAAAATAGCAATGATACATATTACGCTAATTGGATGTTATTTACATGTTATGGGATAAAACTGACGACCTGTTCTAATATACCAGTATACCACCCATCACGCGGGTGCAATAAAACCACTATGATATAATATAYAATGCTATTTTATATCATATTATTTTTTATAGTTTATTTACGACTACGGATAAAATAATTGTAATAATATAAAACTCTCCACAGTTCGTGACAATGGATACTCTATTTTATTAATGATCATCCAGTATAGGTAGGTAGTTATCGTATAGTTATATTAACTCGTGTTTAGTTAGTTATGTAATGCGTACTTTAATTAACTGTCGCCGTAATGCTYGCGGGTRTTTATGTAATAAGGGTTTTTTTTCTTTTTATCAAATAATCATACTTTTACAGATTTGATAAAAATAATAAATTACAACATTGTAGTTCGATGTAAATCGAATATTCGATATATTATTTTCTTCTCTCC